CCTTGTGGTCTCTTCCAACTCTATGATTCTATGATTCTATGAATGAACCACTGGAAAGCGAGTGTGATGCAGTGGTTTGAGTGTCAGTCTAGGACTCTTGGAGCCTGGTGCTTGTTTCTGACTTATGGCAACCCTAAGGCAAACCCGTCGCTGGGTTTTCTACACTTAATGACTCCTCTGCAGCACTTTGGGATGTTCAAAGGATTTTTATCTTCAAGGCCCTTCTCTCGCCTTGAGATTCTTTCTCCTCCTCCCAAAGTTGTGGGACCAGGCACTGAGATTTGGTGCAGCTTGGGAAAGATACATTTTTGGATTGCAATGCCCAAATTCCCTCACCTTCCTGGGTGGTAGTGGTGGTGGTGGTGGGAGACTCTGGGAGTTGTAACCAAAAAAAGAAACCTTCCCTGGTACTATGTATGGCACTCTGTGAATCACTTCCCACCCACATTCACACTATTCAACATGACTGAGACCGAATAATGGTGAGGATTTCTCTAGCCCACGGTAGGAAACAGAGAAAGGAAATATCAGAATACATAATGCATTCCCATTACAGATACAGCAAAGAGTGATGATCAGTTATAGAATCATAGAATCATAGAATTGGAAGAGACCCCCAAGGGCTATCCAGTCCAACCCCATTCTGCCATGCAGGAACTCTCAATCAAAACCTTTCTCCCACGGTGGGATGCACATTCTAGTTTGCTCTGCAGACGGGCGGGATATAAATAAATTATTATTATTATTATTATTAGTTGGGATGACCAATAGGACTGAACTGGTATGCACTTGCTTGTGAGTAGAACTACACAGAATTGTGCAGAAAGCGCCAACAACAAATCATGTGCGGACAGTGCTTTGTCCAAAAATGCAACAACGAGGTGCAATTTTTAAAAATCCAGCTATTTTGGGACCCCCAAAATCAAGATGCTGAGAATTCTGAAAGCATCCCCAATTGAAGAGCTCAGTAAATCAATGTACAGAATGCCAAATAAAGAGGGATATTTCTAGAGGGAAAGACACAAGGCATGCACAGTGCGCTCTCGCATGCACACACACATGCACAGCCGTCCTGCAGCTGACACTGCGAAGTGAGCAGACTTCATTAAAAAAGCGCATTCAGTCAACATCTGCTACCTTGAGATAAGAGTTGCTGTACATCATTCCCTATTTTCCATGGACTGATCGCTCATTTTATCTGTCAAGGAATGGGGGGGGGGGAGAAGAAAAGAAGAGGGGGAGGGAGATCTTTCTGGGTGGGTGCATGGGTTTTGCAGGAAGCAAACCTTCTCCTGTTATCATGGGGAGGTTTTTGAAGAGCTGTGCGCCAAAAGCCATGTGCTGACCCTTTAGATTAGGGGATGCAAATGTGTATTTCTCCCTCTTAAAGAGATGCATGGAGTAAAGCTCGCATGGGTCCTAAACCATACCGAGTGAGCTAGCGTGGCGTTGGACTCTGGAGGCCAGGCTTCAGTTCCCAGCTTGGCCATGGAAAGCCACTGGGTGATATTGTGCAAGTCACACGCTCTCAGCCTCAGAGGATGGCAACGGCAAACCCTCTCTGAAGAAACTCGCCAAGAAAACCCCAGGATAGGTTCACCTTAAGGTTGCCATAAGTTGAAAATTTCTCAAAGGCACGCAACACACAAACCATACCTAGCATAGTTTTTTGTGGGTTTTTTCGGGCTGTGTGGCCATGTTCTAGAAGAGTTTCTTTCTGACGTTTCGCCAGCATCTGTGGCTGGCATCTTCAGAGAAAAAAAGAGCTTTTCTGGGTTTTTTCTCTGAAGATGCCAGCCATAGATGCTGGCGAAACGTCAGAAAGAAACTCTTCTAGAACATGGCCACACAGCCCAAAAAACCCACTAAAAAAACTATGGATGCCGGCCATGAAAGCCTACGACTTCACATACCCAGCATTTTTTGTCTGTCAGATAATATTTGAATTAAATTGTCTGTGCAAACAGAGATTCCATAGACCCCCCCTAGTCCTCCTGAGTTGTTTAGCCAAAAAATGCATGGGCCAAGATACTATCCCCCATCAATGGCTGAATCTGCAAAAACAATGCGGTTTGACATACGCCTCCATGATATGGAATCCTTGGATTTGTAGTTTGTTGTGGAACCAGAGCCCTCTGACAGGGAAGGTTAACTATCTCACAGAACTACAAATCCCAGAACTGCCGTAGCATTGAGCCATGGCAATAAAAGTGGTCTCAAACTCTATTATTTCAGCAGTGCAGATTCAGCCTACAATTCATAACTTTAGGTACCCATAGCTACATTGCAAAAATGAAACCCTGTTTGGGAATTGCAAAGATGCACGTCTGGGCACCAGCAAGAGTGCCCCTATTATCATGGGCATTGGTCCCCCACGTGATGCTCTTACACTTCCTAGCTGGTGTATGGATGTGCATTGGGGGACCCCAATGTGCCTCAATGGCACATCAGTCGCTCCACTGGCTATCACTATGTAATGAATGCCATTGTGTTGCAACATGACAGTAGCTCCTAGGTGGAAACAAATGTCGTGAAACCACCCAAGTCAGTTTTGTGCACCAACAAGAACCTGGAGCAATTGCCAAAGCAGGTTAAGTGCCAAGGAAAGCGCCAAGGTAGGAGTAATTATGAACATAAAGAAAACAAAAATAATGACCATGGAAGATCTACAAGAATTCATCCTAGATAATGGGACAAATTAAATAGTAAAGAGTTCCCTTACCTTGGTTCAAATACTGAGCAGAATGGAGACTGTAGTCAGGAAATCAGAAGAAGACTTGGAACTAGTTGGTGTTGTGTTCCTTCACATCATTCCAACTTATGGCAAATCTATCATGGGGTTTACTTGGCATGTTTCTTCATTGGGGGTTTGCCATTGCCAGCTTCTGAGGCTGGGAGAGTGTGGCCTGCCCAAGGTCACCTAGAGGGTTTATATGATGGAGCTAGGATTTGAACCCTGGTCTCCAGAGTCATAGTCCAATGCGCAAACCACTACCCAACACTGGATCTCAAGATCCTAATTGTAAAGGTATATAACGGAGCACTAAATTCAGAAAAGTCCAAGCCACGGTATTCCCGATCACCATGTATGGATGATGGATGTGAGAGCTGGACAGTGAAGAAACTGGATAAAAAGAAAATCAACTCATTGGCGATGTTGTTGGAGAAGTGTTGAGGATACCACCGACAGCCAAGAAGACAAAGAAATGGGTCCTTGAGCAGATCAAGCCTGAAATCCCTGGAAGCCAAGATAGTTAAATTGAGGCTGTCATTGTCATAAATTGGCCACATCATGACAAGGCAGGACTCTTTGGAAAAGGCAATAATGCTAGGAAAGGTAGAAGGCAGTAGAAAGAGAGAAAGACTGCACACCAGATGGATAGATTCAATCAGAGAACCCACAGGACTGAATTTGCAGGACCTGAGCAGAGCGGTTGAAGATGGGGGATTTTGGAAATGTCTCGTCCACAGGGCCACCATGAGTCAAGATCGATTCCAAGGCAGCTAACAAACAACAAGACCCAAGCAGAATGTGTGTCATCCTCCTGTTCTTTGGCTAGACCTCCTTCACTGCCCTTCCTCAATCCCACACTTTGTAGATCAGTTGTTCCTAAAGTTTGGGCCTCTAGATGTTTTGGATTTCAACTTCCAAAATTCTTGACTGTTGACCAAACTGGCTGGAGCTTCTGGGAGCTGAAGTCCAAAACTCCTGGAAAATCAAAGTTTGGGAATCTCTGTTCTAGAGAATGGTCAAAATCCAGCATTATAGGCTGGAACATAGAATCATAGAGTTGGAAGAGCCCCCAAGGGCCATCCAGTCCAACCCCCTGCCATGCAGGAACTCAAAATCAAAGCATCCCCGACAGATGACCATCCAGCCTCTGCTTAAAGACCTCCAAGGAAGGAGACTCCACTACTCTCCGAGGGAGTGTGTTCCACTGTCGAACAGCTCTCACTGTCAGGAAGTTCCTCCTAATATTTAGGATGAATCTCTTTTCCTGTAGATACCATCCGTTGTTCCGAGTCCTGTTCTCTGGAGCAGCAAAAAACAAGCTTGTTCCCTCCTCAATATGACATCCCTTCAAATATTTAAACAGGGCTATCATATGCCCTCTTAACCGTCTCTTCTCCAGGCTAAACATACCCAGTTCCCTAAGTCCCTTGTCATTGGGTTTTATGGTTTCCAGACTCTTCACCATTTTAGTCACCCTCCTCTGGACATGCTCCAGTTTTTCAACATCTTTTTTGAATTGTAGTGCCCAGAACTGGACACAGAATTCCAGGTGAGGTCTGACCAAAGCAGAATAGAGTAGCCCTATTACGTCCCTTGATCTAGATAATATACTTCTATTGATGCAGCCTAAAATTGCATTGGCCTTTTTAGCTGCAGCATCACACTGTTGACTCATGTTCAACTTGTGATCTACTAGGACTCCTAGATCCCTTTCACACGGAGTCTTCTTAAGCCAGGTGTCCCCCATCTTATATCTATGCATTTCATTTTTTTGCTCTAAAAGCAGTACCTGACATTTCTTCGTGTTGAAATTCCTTTTGTTAGCTTTGGCCCAGTTTTCTAATCTATTAAGGTCATTTTGAATTTTCATCCTGTCTTCTGGGGTATTAGCTATTCCTCCTAATTTGGTGTTATCTGCAAATTTGAGAAGCATGCCCCCTATTCCTTCATCCAAGTCCTTGATAAAGATCTTGATCATAGTTGGACCCTTCTCAATGCCACCCTCCCACCCCATCTCCCCACCAGCAAAGGAATGACAACGGGGGCAACACTAAGTCCTGGAGTGGTGACAGGGAAACTGTAGCCAACACTATATGCCCAACTATGTAGGGATGACTTATAAGTGAATCTCAGTGGTATCGTGGGTTGAATGATGATCTGGGACTGGGGAGACCTAGGTTCAAATCCCAGGTTGGCCATGAATTACAGATGTGTGATGAAGCCAATTTCAGTCCAGGATTCAAAGGTCTGAACCTTAAAGGAGTCCCCAGCTCCTGGACTGTTCACAGACGGGATGCAGTATCTGCTCCCAAATCCTCACTCTGATGGACAGCTGCAAACTTATCTAAAAAAATAAAATAAATCTACGATAGATTTACTAGTTCTTGTAGAAAAAA